CTCACAAACTATACAGTAAAACAAACACTAGCTGCAGGAGGTAAACAGAGGGTAGGACATTGATGGACACCAGCCTGGGCCGAGGAGCTTACAATCAACACCCAGTCAGGATGGTTCAGAGCTGAAATGGACATGCAAGATTTGTCCAGTGATGGGATCCTCCTGGGAGGCAATTTATAGTCAGGCTGGATCACTAATGAAGAGATGGAGGGTGATGGGATTATTATGGCGGGACCCCCCCCGGGCTAAAGAGCTAACAATTTAACATTAGGACAGCTCAATGCTGCAGAAGAGGTGCAGAAGAGGTGCAGGATTGTTGGACTTTCCTCATCTTAAGAACACTCAGGATGGCGGGGGGCTATAGAAGAAGTGCAGAATTTACCCAGTAATGGGGGTTAAGGTTGAACCATCCCAGACTGAAGAGCTAATCTACCCCTGCTCAGGATTGGCTCATTGATAGGATTATGGCAGGACCCTACTGGGCTCAAGAACTAACAATCCACAGGTAGTCAGGACTGGTTCAGTAATGCGAGTATAGCAGGATCCTCCTGGGCCCAAGAGCTAACACTCCACTACTAGTCAGAACTGGATCAGTGATGAGAATATGGTGGGATCCTCCTGGGTCTAAGAGCTGACAATCTACTCTTGGTGAGACCATCCTGCATTGCAATGCAATCTGAAGCCTCCAGTGAGCCCGGCAGGCTGGGGGATGGGGGGGTATGCTGAATGTAAACAGTGCCGGGGGGCGTTATTTTCACACCCGGGTAGTAAAGCGAGACCCCCCAATCACACAGCCATGGAAACCCCATTACTCCCAGCATGCCCTTCCCCAGTCAAAGAGCATGCTGGGACCTGTAGTCCCCCCCCCCCTGTGAGTCTGTGCTCGACGCTGGAGGCCGGAGAGCCGGCCCTGGATTACCTGTATGAGGGAAGCCGGACACACAGGAATCGGCGCTGTCCCCCGGGGATCTCTGAGGGGCGGCCTCTTGCTCACCCTTCCTCCCCCTCTGCAGGCCGGACAGGCCTAGAGACGGTCGAGGGGGGGAGAAGACGCAACGACGACCCCGCTTCCACCTGGAGGGTGGGGAGAACCCCGCTCACCGACACCGGGCGGCGATATCTCCCCTGTCTATTTATTATTATTGTTCTTCACCGCCGCCGCACAAATCTCCTCACAGACCCCCGCCGCGCACGCAAACCTCGCCACGGCCCACAGCTCCTCCTCGCCGCTCTGACGTGATTGGCGCACGGAAACCCAACGAGGGGCCTGGTTGGACGAAGAGGCTGCCAATTTGGCCACTTCGAGCGCTGCGGAAGGATTCGCTGAAGGAAAGCAACTTGTAGAAATGATTGGCCACCGCCGCTGTCAATCTCAATAGCACCGTCCTTTTTGGCCAGCTTTTCCGTCAAGGCACTTTTATATCGTTCCAAGACTCAGTTTCACAATTTGATTTGTCGTGCTGGCTGTCAATCTTGAAGCGAAACGACGGCTCCGCCCGCTGTTTCAGTAGCTCCGCAACTATTGGTGTGGAAAACCAGTTCGGCGTAGACTATTGGTTATTTTTTTCTATCAATCTGGACGGATCCGCCCCTTTTCGGCATATCTGACGTCTCGGCAATAGACGGGAGAGGAGCGGGATTGGTTTGTGCTCCTCCCACGCAGTAGGCGGTTCTGGGGCGTGTCTTGCTCTAAGAGAGACAATGAGAGTGACGAGCCAAGCGAAGCTTTGAAAGAAGATGTCAATCAAACATAGAGGCCCCGCCTTCCACGATGCGCTCAGCCTGCGTACAGCTTACGTCCATAGAGTAGAGTGTGCGTGACATGGGGGGGGGAGAAAAAGTTTCTGCGCAGGTGCTGTATGATTGAGTTCTTAAAGAGTCATGGTTGGTCCAGAGTCAGAACCATAATTTTATATCTGCAAATGGAGGAGACAAATGGATCTGTCAGTCAGACAACACATGTGGTCACCCCCACCCACTGATATCTTATTGGTGTTACCCTTAATATATAATGGCTGGGTATTATTATTTATTATACAGGATTTATATAGCGCCAACAGTTTGCGCAGCGCTTGGCAATATAAGGAAGACATTACAATCACAATACAATTCAAGACAAGCTGGTAAGGAGGGCCCTGCCTGTGAGGGCTTACGGGTATGGGGGAGCATGTGACCTCCCCTTCTTCCCATGATGCATGACTCGGGCCTGGTCAGCCAGTCGCCAGGCTCAGACACTGTCATGTCTTGGAGAAGGGAAGGTCATTCCCCTTGTGCAAGCTCTGTGTCATATTGGAGACATGGAGGGGGATGGGAGTATTAGTGGGTTGGGGGAGCTGACCTTTCAAGAGAACCTGACAGATTCTAAGGAAAGAGAACTGTCTGGTCATCAAAGAGCTCCATATTGTAAACTCAGGCCCATGTCACCCTAGGGAGTTGTTGCCAGCAACAGGATCACTAGGGGGACATGGGCCTTGAAGCACTGGTAACCAAACTTGGCATGCATTTACCTGGCATGTGGGGCCCGATTCCTCCCACTGTCCCCAATAATAGGGCACAATTTCTCCCACTGACACCAATGATGAGACGCTTCTCCTCCTGCGGATCCCAACAATGGGGCTCCATTCCCCCCACTGATACCAATGATGGGGCACTATTCCTTCCACTGATAACAATGATGGGGCTCCATTCCCCCCACTGATACCAATGATGGGGCACTATTCCTTCCACTGATTTAAACAACATGGCACTATTCTTCCCGCTGATACCCACAATAGGGCATTATCCTTCCCACTGATGCCAACAACGGGGCAATATTCCTCCCACTCATCCCAACAACAAGGCACTATTCCTCCCACTGATCCCAACAACGGGGCACTATTCCTCTTACTGACACCAATGATTGGGCAATAATCCAATGACTGACACCATTGATAAGACACGACTCCTCCCACTGATCCCAACAATGGGGCACTATTCCTCCTTTTGATCCCAATTTGCACTATTCCTCCATTTGACACCAAGAATGGGACACTATTCCATCCACCGGCCACAGATATGTTTTACTCCCATCACCAACCCTGGGGGGGATTTGATACTTCCATTCACCACCAAGCCAGGGGGGGCTTGTTTACTCCCACTGGCCACTGCCGGGTCATTTTCTATTCCCACTGGCCCCCCTAAAAAACACTCACCTGCTTTTATGGGGTCACCCCCAAGCCCCTCCCCCTTCCTGCTCAGTGAGCACTAGAGTCTACAGCATTTCACCCAGTGAGGGGGCAATGCCGTAGAAGTGGGTGAGTTGGGTTGTTGGTAAGTTGCCACCGGTGACAGGATTCTTGTGTGACATGGACCTTATAATACAATTATTTATGAAAAAGAAATTAGGAATATAATTGGAGGCCATTGTGACCTGTTATCTTTATCTCTGTAGAAATATAAAACATGGAGTCTGAGAGGTCATTGTGGATATAAACTCTTGCTTGTGTTCCTGCTTTCGTTCCTCCAGCTTTTTAATAAATATCCGACTGAGGGCTTGTGTCGATGGGAAAAAGCAGCTTGATTCAAAGTGCATTCCACTTACATTGTAGATTTGCAAGAGTTTGTGACGCTCATTGAAAGGTGCATTTGACCCACCGTTGGCCCGCTCCTTCTGATCAGCATCTGAACTCCTTCGCAGTAATCAGTCTTTAGACCCACGGCTCCTTGTTCCAGTTCAATGGCTTTTTGAAGGATCCGTGAATGGAGAGACCACAAGTCCCATCTGCCAAAGTGGCAGAGGGATCCTTCGTTCCCAATGGAGTAATGTAAGGGCAAAATGGCGGCTGCGCATGCGTGCAAGACAGATTTCCATGTGGCCGGAAAACGCGCCATTGTGTTTAGGCGCACGCAAAATGGAAGTGCGCGGAAAACACGTGCAACGGCCGTCGCACAGGAAGTGATGCTGTTATCTGGATTAAGCTCACCATATAAGAACCATATAAGATGCTCCTTTGGTGAAGGTCTTTTCACCAAAGGAGCACCAGGGCCTCAGCCTGGGGGGGCCCGGCACAGTCCCTGTGCATTGATGGTGGGACTTGCCGGCCGCCGGATTGGTATCCAGCGGCCAGCAGGCCCCCAGTCTCTGCGCCGGGAGTGCCGGATCATCTGTTCATCCGACACTCCCGGCGCAGAGATGGGGGGCCCGCCGGCAGCCGGATACTGATCTCCAGGGGCGGAAATACCACCTAAGACTGTGGGGGGGCAGTGAGGTCCGGCCCTGGGCACCCCCGGTGGAATATGGGGCAGTGCAGGGTCCCGGTGTTAGAACACCGGGGCCCGCACTGCTGACTGGCGTCTCAAGAAGGGGGCGGGTCCTCCTCTCCGGCCGCGTCCCTAGTAACAGGCGGCCGGGAGAGAAGTGTGTGTGTGTCAGGATCACAGGGGCTCACAACAGCTGTCCCTTTCGCCCCGAGCAGCAGAGAGAAAAAGAGCCGCAGCAGTGTCAGTGGGGAGACAGACCGGCCATCCGTTCTCAGTAACATAAAGACAGTGTGAAATGTCCGGCCGTCCGTGTCTGTGTGCCTCCTCTGTGATCTCTGGTGCATGTCACAGTAATCAGGCGCGAAGGAGGGGGAGGGCACAGCACAACGTGAAAGGTAAATCTGAAAAAAAAAAGCAAATCATGTAATATCTTTATTAGGACTTTGGGGAAATTAAAGATTTATTCCTCGATTAATCGTTAAACTTTTTGATCGATTAAAATTCTTGTGATCGAAAATGAAAAGACTCACCTCTGTGCCGGCTTTCGGGAGTCCCGTCGGAGATCCCGTGACGTCACAGACATCAACGTCACCGGACTACTCCCCCCTTCCCCAAGTGGCTCCGTCGGCTAACGAAGGGAAGGGGGGAGGAGTCTGGTGACGTTGATGTCCGTGAAGTCACCTGACTCCTCCCCCTTCCCTTTGTTAGCCGATGGAGCCACTTGGGCCGGTGAGTTTGCCCAAGAAGCACCAAGCTTCTGTCTTATCTTAAACTTATTTATATGCACTATGTGGCTCTCCATTTACCCCCCCCCATCTTGCTCCCAGAAATGTGCCCATTGAAATTTACTGATATTATGTTGCAATCAGGTCCTTACATGAAATGGAATGGACAGGTGCTGCTACTTCAAATATTAAGCTAATACTTATGTTTAAATCACCCTTAGGGCTTTGCTGTTTTACTATACTATGTAAATACATTTGTAATCCAGCACCTTATTATTCTGAGTTGCCCCACTCAAGCGGCGGCCATATTGAGTGGGGCACGTGAGATTAATAACGTGCTGGATTAGTGTGATCCTAGTTCATTTTATCACTTCATTGCTGTGCTGTATGTGTATAGGCCAATGTAGTTGGATCTGCATGTGTGTTATAATTAATCGAAATTATTTAAAAAAATTTCGATTAATCGAACACGAAAATTTTAATTATTACCAGCCCTAATTTTTATTAGCAATTATCTGTATTTAACTTTACATGGACAGCAAATGTTAGCACTTGCACAGAGGCTTGGACTGGGAGCAGAACTGGGAAGGAAGAATCTGGACTGTATGGCATTTACACTGACTGCATATCACTAAACAAAGTGTGTTCAGTCCATGTGTTCAGTGATATGCTGTGTAATTGCAATACAGATTTTGCTGATATATCCATGTTCTGTACTACCTGTAAATCATACTATTAGATTTAAATTTAAAGTCTTATTGTAGGATTTATCAAGTAATGTAGACGAAATATACCAGTTTGTGGTTATATTAGTAAAATCTATATTGCACGGTGTACTGTATATGCAACCTATGCATTCTGTGTATCATATATAGAGGCATTTGATAAAAATGCAATGCACCGTGCAGCTAGTGTTCGGGGGCAAGCAATGTAAATTCACTACGATTTTACTAATGTAACCACGTAGTGCTATATTTGTTCTATACTACTTGATAAATCATACAATAAGATTTTTCATTTAAATCCTATTGTATGATTTAACAAGTAGTCCAGAACAAATGTACCAATACATGGTTATATTACTAAAAATTGGTATTGCCTTTACATTGCATGTACCCGAACACTCGCTGCATGGTGCATTACATTTTCAACATATGCATTCTACATATGCTGTAATATAGACTTATGGGTCAAAAATCTGTATTGTAGGGTCCATTGCGTTGCAGAGTGCTGAGTCCATTGCGTTGCAGAGTGCTGGGTCCATTGCGTTGCAGAG